AGTCCTCTACCAGAAGGCATTTTTTCAGGTTAGTTTACCGAAAGATTGAAGATAGTGAACAAAATAAAGGAATTATTCCTGAGCTTTGTTTGAAATGGCCTCTGATTGCGGTTGTGTTACTCATCAAAATATTTGTACAACCATTGCAGCTTTTACTTAGATGACTAGCTACCATAGTAGAGCTACAAGATTATACTTCATACTGCTGGCAAAAATGCAAAGCACTTCCAATTTTGATGCTGCATTTATTTTTTTACACAGTGGAGGACTCTGCACTTACCTCCCACTTCCTCATTTCCTCTATTATTTCCCAGCTTTTGCGTGGCAGCTTCATTAAATTTTTAGACAAGAAATACACTGTAGGTCTTTCTGTACAGCTTGACATCGCTTCTGTGAAAATAATTGTTGGAAGTCTTTGTTGGATAATGGAGAACTGTCCAAGTTAGTATAGATTTGTACATAAAAAAAATTCACAGTGAAGGGTTTTGTCAACCAAAATAATAGAGTCCATTACAGTGACACTAACCTTCTGAAATACGAACGCTGCTTTTTCTGAAGCTCTCTTGCGTCAGTATCTCATTTTCTGCAGTTATCATCTCTGAATGCCCTCTGACTCAAGTAAGCATTTTTGCCAGCCTGCCTAAGTTACATACACAGAACAAGTTGTTCACTTAAAAGTGCCTGTTTACCTCCTTGCCACCTTCTCCCTCACTGCATTCCAACAAAATGTAGTTCCTCAGAATCTGTGAAATCATAATTTTTAACAGACAATGCTTAAATTGCTAACAATTTTTTAAGAGAAAACTAATCATTTTTCATTCAGTATGTGAGTTACCGTATGCCCACTAGATGCCGCTCTAGATAATCATTAAGACCATAATGGGTGAAACTACACTAGTGCTTCTCTGTTGTTTCAGATTATTTTACTAAGTATTTTCTGTCAAAGCACTGCTTGTTAGCTGGGAAATGCTGCTTTCCCTTCACTGGGTACCAGCTGATACAGCTCTTAAATGCTGTTTTAGCACTCTTGCAGGTGTTCTTCAGGATCTGACAATTGAGTGCTTGTAAATCGTCCCAGTTGTGTTATTTCTCTAATTGCAGGAGTAATTACATTTTTCCAGAGCAACAGATAGCAAAGAGAATTTCAGTATTTATATCCAAACTAGAAATCATCATTTTAGTAGGAAAATTAAAAGTGTACATATAAAAATAAAATTGGAGGAAGTATACCCCTTTTTAATTCATTAAAACTTAGTCTTCCTTAAGTTTGCATTTGGATAAAAGTGTGGGAGAACGTGGTTGATACTTCTGTGTGTAGTTATGTTAATGCGTAACAGTTACGCAAAAACTTTCCATAAAATCTTTATATAAGAGGCACATGATAGAAAGAAATTCCATTTTATTTTTGTTTCATAAAAACATGTTTCTAGTCATAAAATTGGACAGTCATGTGATTCATTATTAAGTACAATGTGTTCTCTTTATATTTATTTGAATATTAGGATAACTTTGTCTAATATTATGTAACCTGTTTATAGTTAACAAATTAATTATTGGAATGTGTCTGCTGTATTTCTTACTCTATTTACATAATGGTATTTTTACACTGGACTGGCAACTCTGTCAGGTTGTATGGAAGATGGAGAATTTTACATTGGCATCTGTATATTCTAAGAAGAAAAACAGAGGAACAGTTAGTGATATCTATATGTTTTTATGCAGTTTGGGATTGGCTGCAGACAAAAGCTGAGCAGGGAACTTGCCTGGGCCAGCAGATGTTTAGGGATGTGATAAAAATAATCCTGCTGCTCATTGTCTATGTGCCAAGCCAGGGAGGCTGTCATGAGCTGTTGCTGCTTTTGAACAGGGATTGCTATTGAAGGTTGGCTTCACTGCTGACATTGCCTGTCAGCTACTGAGAAAGCCTTGAGCCAGATCCAGCTGCACATTTCTGTATGTTACTTACTCAAGTTTCAAGCAGCATTTTTTGTTGAGGCTGAAAGAAGGTTTTCCTGGAAACAGTTTGTAGAGATAGAGCTGCTCATAAAAGGAGATAAAGTACTTTTACAGACAATTAAATATCGCCTACTCCCCATTATTGCTGGTTTGTTTTTTGGTGGGGCTTTTTGTTGGTTTTTGTTTGTTTGCTTATTTGTTTTCATTGGGGTTTTTTTGAAGAGCCACACCATCTTGCTTTTTTTGGCAAAGCTTCCTCCATGTTGCATCTACAGAAGGTGAGATAGGTCAGATCCCCAATGCTGGACTCTTCCTATATTCTTTGTAATCTTATCCCTACTTCCAGTAAAAATACTGTAAAATGAAACTGTCTTTTACACAAGAAGTAGTGCATCCTGTTAAATTTAAGTTCCTCTCAGAACAGCAGTTCAACTATATCATCTTGTGATTAATTAAACTGATTAAAAATATTATGGCACATATATTTAATAAAGCAAAAGAGTGAGCATGCAAAGGAGCAAGCTATCATTAGGAACAGAAAACCAGTTTATGACAGATTTTAGAGGATAATATGCACTTTTGTTGGAGGAATTAACTCTGGCATAAAAATTGTTTTTATCTGCTGTGACATCCATAAAAGATGAATTGCCCTTTGTAATTCAATAAACAAGAGAGATAAAAGACAGCAGAAAGTTAAGCAGAGGTTGATTAGTCAAAAATTAATCACTTAATATTTTTTTCTTAAATCAATCAATCATAGTAAAATAAAATAATGAAACTATTATAGCATTTTAATCTGTTATGGCAAACTGAGGACTTGTATTTCTTTATACAGGCAGATAAAAATTACTTGAAAATCTCTAGGCTGTCTTTTAATTCCTACAAAACATTTGCAGACTACATTTATAAATGACAGCATATCAAAATGTCAGTTCACCATCCTTGCACTATTTGCTTTGATTTCCCTTTGAAATAATTTGCAAAGGATTTATAAATTTATAAATTTATTGGCCCAGAGCCAATGTCCTGTGAAGATAGTGTGAGACCTAAGCTTGTTTAGTCTTTTGAAGAAGACACTAAAATTAGTAATACTGATACTTTGTAACACTAGCACTAAGTATTTCTGGAGTTGCAAGTGTTCCATGGAACTGAACTTTTCAAGGTGGACCATAGAACTAACTCTGCTAGGTAGCTCACATTGCCTTTTCTTAAGGTCTTGTTAAGAAAGGAAGTCTATATGGAATGGTGAGGAGAAAATACCTCTTATTAACAATTCGTCTAGGGAGTTAAGTTTTACATTCAGCTGTGTTGACATTAGTGTTTCTTTCCTTTCAGAGTGAAATCCTGGCACTGTTGAAGTCAATGGGTCATGAGATCTGACTGCATGAAAGCAAATGTTGTAGTACTCTGCATTAGTTTCTCAATATATAAGTTCAGCTATTTATTTTCATGCAGCACAGCAACATGCAATAAAGTTTAACAGATCAAATAATTAACTTCTACTACAAAATTGAATTCGTTTACTATTTTGTTTTTATTTTCCTTTTTTATTTTATGTTTGTCTTGTGTTTTTAAAGTTCCCATTCATGTTTATGTTGGCCTCTCTGAAAGGCAAATTAATGGAAGTAAATGTACATTTGCAGCAAAACTGTCTGAGTTATCTGACAAATTGTTGTATGGCTCAGCAAAATCAGAATCTGCAGGATTCATGCTCTTGTCGTTCTCTGGAGTCCTGTTTGGTGGTGAAGCAGTCTTTTTCAGGGGGCTGCAGCTTTAAATAATAATAATAAAAGGAGTAAGTTAGTTCCTGTGTTTCAAATCGTATTTGCTCTGGCTCTGTATTAACCAAATCAAGTCAGCCTAACTGTTCAGAAGTAACTGAATTAGAACATTATTCTACAGTGACAAAAGAATGTTACTAATAGAAATAACTGTAGGCTTTGCTGGTATTTCAGCTATAATACAAAGTGGTTTCACGAGTAGCTAAGGAGTTAAAGGCTAATTCAATGACATTGTTGCCAAAAATCAGTAAAACTCCTCAGCCCCAGTGTAGCATTAAGAAGCAGGCATTCTTTATTCGGCCAGATGCATGAGGGGGTAGCTCCTCCAAATATTGTGTGTGCTGAGTACAGGACATTTTCTGTTTATATACTGTGTTTTACATACATAGTCATTGATTGTCCCAGAATCAACATACGTACGATAATCATTTCCCCAAAATCCTTGACATTTGTTCCCCCTACCTCTGCACATGCATTCTTTTGTCCTGGGGGTCTCTTTGATGGTTACCTGGTGGTTAGCAACCCCAGAATCATACCCAACTGCCTGGTGAACTGCTGAAAGTTAGTGTAACTGGGCTGGCTAGTTGCTTTCCAGTTTTTCTTCCTACAGAATAAGCATTGTGTTGTTCCATAGGCTCTGAACAATAAGCATTATATTAGACCACCAGGTGTAAACAATTCTTCATCTGGAAACAATGCTAGAAACAAGGTTAACAATTCACAATTTTTTAAAGTTCTGTCATAAACGTTTGGTTTTTTGATTGACAGAATATTCTCAGGTTTTAAATTTACTTAAAATTATTTTAAGCTGATCTCTAAGAATTGCTGAACTCTTTTCAAAATTTGGAAAGGCATGTAAAATAAATAGTGTTCTTAAAACTTGAATTGGTTGTCTTGTGGTGTTGTATGTGTCTCTACCATGAATGACTTGCATTTCAATAACGACCAGTGTGTTGGCTGATTGTAACTGTGCATATTCAGACTTTGCAAATGTACCCTGTTACCATTTTCATGTTCATGACTAAAGTTTTAAAGAATACTTATGCTTAACTAGCTGAATTTGCAAAAGAAAAATGCCTGAATATTTGATTTACTGCTTGCTTGTTACTTTTAATTTAATTAATTGGATCTTATATATTAGTAGGAAAGTGCAAAATGGGAAATGGATACTTTCACCAAATCGAGTGAAAGTGCATGAGTGTTGTAAAAAAAAAAAAAAAAAATCTCATGACCACCAAAATTCTGCTCTCTCTTTTATTCCAGAATCGAATGGAAGAAAGCAAAGCACTCTTTAGGACAATTATCACGTATCCGTGGTTCCAGAACTCATCAGTTATTCTGTTCTTAAATAAAAAAGATCTACTAGAGGAGAAAATTATGTACTCCCATCTAGTTGATTATTTTCCAGAGTATGATGGTAAGTATAATGGCATCAGAGCTTTATGACTTGTTTGCACTGTAGTACTGATAAATTTTGCTAGCCTTTGTTCCAAATGCTAGACAGATAGATCCTTTGGTATATTAATTTTTAAAAATACTAAAAAATTGTAAAATGTGGTTGAACTTATATGGAATTTTTGGACTGCTGAGATTTTGTTCTATACTGTAATGACTTGTGGGTAGCACAGGAGAACCTTTATTGGGAAATTGTTGACTTCTGGATGAGTATTGTCATATTAGTAGTGAACCACATCCTGTCATTTTTCAGAAGTTAGGGTGAGGGTTTAAATTGAAATACATGAGTTAAAAATAAATAGAAACACATTTCTCAATTCTTCAGCAGTCTTCTGTATTTTTGGTGTTTTGAGGTTTGCTTTTATACAAGCAAATCTATTGAATACCTAAGGAGAAATGTCAGAAGCTTTCTGGAACACTCAGAGAAACACGAAACCATTCCTTGCACCCTTTTATTGTTCTTCTTTAAACTGTGTTTTAATTTTACATTAATTATGTGAAGTTAGTGTGTTTGTCCTTAAAAAAAAAAATTAATAATAATAATAATTTTGCGCTGGATAAGTGTTTCTACTAAAGGTGTACTTTTAGGAAGTTCTCATGAGAGAAAAAGTTAAGTATTTTTAGGTAACTGAGTAGTGGAGGCCTTGGTAACAGAGAAAAATCAAACTGATATAATAAGAGGTGTAAAGAGCTAAATTGCCTATTTTTTAAAAAGAAAAACAGTTTTGAACCACCAGGAAGGAATAGCTGACTGGAAAGCTGAGAGAAAGATTAAAACTCTGATGTTTGATTATGGAAAGTAATAATGGGAAAAATTTACTTCTAGTTTTCTATTAAAGAGGAAGAGAACAGTAAAAAGCCTGCAGGATCAGATCATATTATTTATGAGTCAGTGTAAATATAGTTTCATAGTAACATACAGAAGAAAACTGGCAGTTGAATAGAAATATACTTGTTCTTTTGAATTTTCTTTGTGTAACAAAATAATGTGTAACTAGATGACATCCCAAAGGTGAGTAGACCCTGTGGTCATCTATGTTACCTCCTCTCAAATGTTAACAAACCCAGTGTAAAATGCTTGTCCAGAAAAAAAAAATAGACAAAATTAGGACACTTAGTTCATAGAAACTTTGAGTCTCTTGTTGTTTGCCATTGGTGAGAGAAAAAAAATATGGACTGTCAGGGATGTGGGAGTGAAGACCTGCAAGTCTTTGAGAATTGTTTGTTTCTTAATGCTGCAGATCTTGCAGAACCTGTCTCCAGAGACAAAGTTACAGTTTGATTTGATTACTTCTGGCGGCAGGGTGGGGTCTGTGCCTTGCAGAGGTCAAGGTGTGGTCACCTTTTCTGTCCCAGTACATTGGGGATGTGGGAGTTCTGAGGAGGGTATCAGAAATAGGTATTTTTCAGCTGGATTGCTTCTCTCACTTTCAGAAGGGAGAATGTAGCCTAAGGGTGAGAACTGCTGGCCAGGGTGGCAAATTGGACAGATTAAATTAAGGAGTTCTGCTGCACAGTGCATTAGTAAGAGCTTCGAGAGGGAGGCTGAGCCTTGCTCCTAGGTCAGTTTATCACGTGAAGACAGGCTTTGCATGCTAGTCATATGGTAGTTCTTTTCGAAGTGTCTTACTTAGATCAGAACCGCTTTGCCATCTAAATTTAACATTAATTGATTCAATTTGTTTAAGTTCCTGGGGTCATACTTTTCTGTGCTTGAACCTCAGTCAGATAAAAGTTTAAATAAGAATAGAAGTGTGAAAATTCAGGTATCTCTCTGAATAGGCTAATAGATTTTGAGAAAACGCAGTGTGCTACTGAGAAACTGTTTAACAAAATTCTAGGAAACCACTTAAAAAACAAAGTGATTTGTTTTGAGGAAATCGTTGTCTTTGGAAGCCCAAGAATTTTCTTCACAAATACTCGCATATATATGTGCTATTGTGAGGCCTAATATTGCTGCCCTTCATCTGTAGAGACTGGTAACCAAGCTAAAGGCTAGGGCCGCTTGTGTTTTAGAAGCTGTTGCTTCTAAATGAAGCAGAACAACAGAAATGTGTTGGACAGTCCTCTGTCCTGCCTCACAGAGCTTATTATCTGGTTACATCCCTAAATCTCGGAAAATATGTCATCTATGTATGTATGTGCATATACATACATCTGTTCGCATGTATACATTCATGTATTGCCAAAGTTTACTCCACCCTGCGTAGATTTGCAGCACACCAGAAATTATGTGCTTTCTCTTCCATATATTCCCTCCCTAAATTTTAGTTACTCAAATTTGAAGTGTTAAAATTTTAAGCTTGAAAATAAGGTCTTTCATCCACTTGTTGAAATCTGTGGACATCTGCTGGGCACCAAACTACTGATTTTATAATTACTGAAGGACAGAGTTACACATAACAGCTGGGTGCTGGTATTTATATTTCTGTGTAACATCAGGACTGATGAAGAGAATAGGAGGAGGCAACAGCACAGAAACTGTGTGTTCTGTGGAAACCCACGTTTCAGAAACAGAAGAGCAAGGGAACAATGAATTCTGGTGGCAGCACTAAAATAGTGGAACAGGCTTCACCAGCATGTGGCTTATGTTCTTGCTTCTGCACTGCTCTTTTGGCTGTGAACATAAATGAATCCTCACTATTCCAGGCTGGAAGTAATTACTTTATCTTCTGTGATCTTTTAAGCTGAAAATGTAGTAGTTTGCTTAGATAGACTCCGTCCTTCTGAGAGTTACAATTTTTATTTAGGTCTGATAGGATCATTAACATACATAATTTAGATTCCAACTGATCTTAGAACATGAACCTTTTGCAGACAACAGTTTCAGCTGGAGAGCAGCTGTATATTTTATTATCACTAAAAGTAAATGAAGTTCTATTGATGACAGTGTCAGACCCAATTCAGGGTATAATTCCACTATGCTTCCTATTAAAATCCATATAGAGCTAGTAAATCTTGCAGTGCTAAAATAACTGAAGTATAATTTAAATATAGTAGGTTTAGACTGAACATTCACCATTTCTACTAAGTTTTTAAAGATTTAATTATAAAGTTAATTTTTTTTATTTTCATTCTGTGCATTTATAAATCACCTGTTCTAAAACAAGTGATCTATCTTGGTGAAGAAGGAAGATAGTCGGCAACAAAAGAGCAGCTCCAACTTAGTGAACTACTGAAATGTCCTTCCATCTTTATTTTTAATAGTTCCTACCACAAGGAATATAGCTGGTATATGATACTATTGGTTAGTAAAAGGTTCCCCATCTTCTCTTGCATGGGGATCAGAGACTAAGCCTTCCTTAATTTCTTCTAAAGAAGTAGAAATACAAAATTGACTTTAAGAAATCTGAATTTCTTTTCTTACAGGACCACAGCGGGATGCACAGGCAGCACGAGAGTTCATCCTGAAGATGTTTGTAGACCTGAATCCAGACAGTGACAAAATTATCTACTCTCACTTCACATGTGCTACAGACACAGAGAACATCCGCTTCGTCTTTGCTGCTGTCAAGGACACAATCCTACAGTTAAACCTGAAGGAGTACAACCTGGTTTAACTGTACCTGGGGGATCCTCCAAAACCAACTTGCCGTGATTGAAGATACACAAGAGGGACTGTATTATAATCTGTGAAAACAATTTGCATAATACTAATTTATTGCCGGCCTGGACTCTGTGAACGTCCACAGAGTTTGTAGTTAATATTATGATTTTATTTAAAATACATGGAGGAAAAACAAAAGATGCTGAAGTACATTCACAGCACATTTCCTCATTTTTTAGGCAAAACCTTGTGACTCAATGTGTTTCAAATTCTCAGTTGTTCATTTACAAAGGATGGCAGTTTTTTGCTGTTGAAGCAAAATCGAGCTGGTTTCCTCTTTCTCTCCCCCTCCTTTCCTACTCCCCTTATCTTTTAAAAGGTACAATGGCCTTTTTTTTCTCCCAGTTCCATTCCTGGGTGAAATATTTTCTGTTGAGTGATTTGATCAGTAAAACACTATCATAACAGTTTAAGTCATCAGTCATTCTAATTTTACAGTACGTACTTTCTTTGAAGGATCAAAAAGTATTGATACTGTGATTTTTAAATTCTTTATATGGGTGTCTTCATTCTGTCTTCACTTCTGTGACTAGAATATTTGGATTGCAGAGCAGAATTACAGTTGTCTAAGGGTAATTAACCATTGTTTTACAGTTAAGAAAGGTGCAGAGAAGACAGTAATGAAGTAATTAAGACACAATCTGGGATGTCCGTGGAATATGTTACAACCTCTTTTTAATTGCCATGTGCCATTTTTTTCTCTCTTCTTTTGTTCACAAATGCCAAATAGAAAAATCATAGACACTACATTTTCCCCAGTGGCTACAGCCTGAAACAGTGTTTTTCTCAGTTGTGTGGGGTGTTTTTTCTTAAGTTAGAGCTTTTTTAAGTGTTCTTTTTCCACAGTAGAAAAATTATTTTTATTATACAAAATTCATGTTGCCAAATCTGGCTTTTTATAAAAACAATGCATTTGAAACATAAGATTCTGATTGAAATGCCAAATGGATGGGTTGGGAACTGACCTGATTGAATCAACTGCCAAGTGATTAACACACACAGTTTGAGCTCATATGTTCCCTTTTTTAGAAAGTGTACCATTTTCTAATACCAAAACCAACATGTAAGTGAATATGCTATGAGGTGTACCATGCACCCGCATGTAGTCTAGTAATTAGAAGTCACTTGAGATCTCTCATTTTATCACTTATGACATGAGATTGTTTTCTGAATAATGTCAAGGCACCTTCAGTTGTATTACAAGAAGTTATTCATGAGAGATCATGTTCAGGAACCTTTTTTGATAAGGTTGATTGTTAATTGATTCACAGGCATTTGATAGGCTTTTGTGCAAAATAGCCTCTCTCAATGTTCTTTAGAGCAGATTTATAAATGTAAATGAAGCAGTGAGAAAATCATTCTTGAAATTTAAATGTGCAATTTTTTAACAACAGAAGTGCAGCACACATTGATGAGCCTTTATTCTGCAGCTTAGGTTGAAAGGTGTTTTTTGACCATGTGCGTGATTGCTAGGAAGAAAACTCTAGAGTACAGACATGTAATTCGATTATCTATAATGCCAACTGGCACTAGAGCGCACTTAACACAAAAATGGCTGCCATGTAGCAGCAAATGGGAGGTGGAAAAAAGAATGGCTTATTAGTTGATTACCAAAGTTAACAATAAATACTAATGAGATGTTTTTCATCCTTAACCTGCCCAAATCCAAAGTAATAAGGACAGTTGCTATTTTTTGCTCCCTCTTAAAACACCTTGTAATTTAAAACTGGTTATAGGTATAGTGCAATTATGAATGCTAAAGTCATTGTACATACATATATATATATATATATATATGGCAGCATCCTTATTGGCTTTGTAATCATTAATTTTTGGCAAATTGAATGTGCTGTATTGATATGTATCTATGTAATTGTATTGTATGTCTTATAGCTAATTCACATTTTAAATAATGTTATTTTATTTACTTTTTTAAGAGAGAAGAATGTAAATTTTGTCAGTTTATTTCTGACTAGGGATTTGTTGTTGTTTTTATTTACAAAACAAAATACTATAGTACAGAGCGGTACTAGCATCGTGCTGTATAAAATCATTTGCACATTCCTGAGTAGAACTAAATTGGAGACACCAAGACAGAGATGATTCAGATTCAAAACAATGCTCAAATCTTGTCAAGGCTTTAAACAGCTGTTGAAAACAATCCTATTGGAATAACGTATGCCATTATATCTCATATTGGAACATAAGCTTGAAATACAATTTTTATTTGATTCACATTAGGTTACTTTCACTTTTCTAATAGCTTTATTGGAAAAGTAAATTCAGAGATATTTCAAACCACTGTATGTAAGTGCTAATGCAGATGTACTGTTGCCCTAAAAATACCATGATAAAATATGAAACATCAGATCAGTTTTTCAGAAATTGTGGAAACCTTAGGTATAAAAACAACAACCAAAAGGTCACTATTGTTAACAATTTTAAACAGTTGAAGTGCTTTATTTAATGAAGCTAAAGCAAGTAGATCTAGATTATAAAAAGTGACACTGATATTCTGAATAGGGGATCAGAGCAATGACTCTTTCTTAATATAGCTTAACAAAAATGGTCCTGATCATACTATAAGTGCAACAAAGCTTCTGTTTTCACAATTCCACTGTTGATAATATCCCTTTCTTACTGCCTGGGAATACATTGCCCGCATTGGATTCAGTGCTATAAATGGAACTGTAGCCAAAAAAGGAAGGGAAAAAAAAATTAAAGAAAAAAAAAAGAAAAAAAAAAAAAGAATAAAAAAGAAAAGGGGGGGGGGGTGAAGAAGAAGAAAAAAAAACATAACCAAACAAAAAGCCACAGCAGACAGTGGTGTCTAACAGAAGTTTGGGGTTTTTTAATTTTTTTTTCTTATGGGATATTGGGTGGGGGAGAAGGAAATGTGGTTCCAAGTTTTGTATAAAAACAAAAGTTTACTCATGCTTTATAGTTATATTGTGATTGCAAAAGTTTTCAAGAGTGTGTGCCACTGGGCTATTTTCTGGTATTTTTTAGGTGAGTTGAACCTGTGGCAATGTTTAGATCATTTGAGCATGTTCTGGAAAAAAAAATACTCAGCATGCCAAGGCAAGCTTTACATGAATCACCTAACACAGCATTGCAATATGACAGTTTACAAAACATTTTCTTTTTAAGTAACACAGCTGTTCCCACTTGTAGTATATTCCATTGTGGTGGTGGTGGCGTTGCTGTTGTTTTAATTCGTGGTTTCTATTACGCCTTATAGTGCTCAAGTCCAGAAGTTCGTGCCTCTAACATGAAGCTGAAGGCAAAAACATCCAGACGGAAACCCTTTTAACTTTGCCAAAATGATGTGTTTTCTTTGATTGTTATAAATGGGGGAGGAGGGAAGGAAAATGTCTTGGGAACCTGTGTATTCTAAATGTTCACTAGCACAAGAAAGCTGTAACACGTGTTTTACAGAAACCTGGAACTTGCCTTTTTCACGAATTAGCTGGCGCTGTCCTTACAGATGTAGGATGATGCAGCTATAAGGGCAGTTTACTTTTTATAATTCAGTCTCTTCTGATTGTCAAGGTGTTTGGACTGTACTTTTTAATCATACTGCCACATGATTGTGAATCGCTTTTTAAAGTTTGAAAATGGAGAAGAGACTTTTAATGCTGGATAACAGTCAGAATTGACTGCATGATTTGCAAAAACTATATGGGGGGAAAAGGGCTGCATATAGATATTGCTAGACTCCCAGCCTTGAGTTGTAAGGTGCAGAAGACTTTCAGATTATTCAACCTCATGACCCTTTCCTTCTTAAACATTCTTCACAAAAAAATGAAATACTAGGAGAAAACAAAGACATGTTAACATGAAAAAATAAAATTTAGACAATTAATTTATTACATGTGCTGCTATTCTTGGAGCTCTGTGTGTAGTTATCCTGCAGATTATTACATTAGTGAACTAATGAAGTGTTCACAGCATATTAACAAGGCCTACACATGATCTACCTCTAGTTAAGAGATCAGTAAAGTAGCTATGTTTTGGAGAGACTGACATAGGTAATTTAGAAAATTTAAATGTCCTGGTATGTAATTAACCACGGTATTTTAGAAATTGGCACTTTTACAAATGCAGTCCCTCTTTTGACATATACCATCAATTCTAGAATTTAATAGACATCAAACAACTAAAGCCTTTCCAGATTGTTAGTTTAGTAGAAATCCTGCAAAACAATAGCTTTAGTTTGAGAAGTGGAGCTACTGGTATTTCCTCTGTTTTGCCTTTTTGTTACCTATAACATTTTGAATTCTATCAGTCAAATCTTTGTCTAGTCAATACGTTGGGGTCACAATTTAGATGATTAAAGAATTTTACTGTAAGTTTATCTTGAGCTTTTTCACAGTAGTCACACTGCAGATAAGAAAGGAATAGAGACTTTGAAAACTGTCAAAAGATACATCAAGTTTAATATAAATCAGTTGAAGATTTTTTTCTTTCAAAATACAGTTTAAGCTTATTTCCACGTTTACCATGCTTCAGGAAATCAGTTGGCCAGTTCTTAATTTTTTTTCTTCTTTTAAGGAGTGAGTGTCAGATGTATTTTTAAACTTAAGAGTATTTAAAAGTAACATTTGCTGTTTCTAAAGTGTCTCTTAAATGCATGTATTGTGTGTTGCTTGAGGGCCAGAAATAGTTTTTTAAAAAAAACTAATATTGTACTGTTTCTGCCCCTCAAAAATGTTGTTGGTTAAAAATACAGTATTTTTGGCCACATATTCATACTATAGCCTCTTCATTCCTTGAAATTTAGTTTTTCCGGAATCTTCATTTGAGCTTATTGTTCTCCCAAAATGCTTCTTATTACGGTAAATGTTGGATAGATATTTTACTCCAAAATTATTTTTTAGTTATACATGCTTCCTCATCATTGTCTAAATATTAGAATTTCCAGAATATCTTTGTTACAGCCAGATGTTCAAAACATTTAGGGTTTGTAACAGTGGAGAAGGTAATCCGACAGTATTACAGAAGGTTTGGGATTTTTTTGGTTTGTGTACAGTGGAAACTCAGAAGCATGGGAGAAAATAAATAAAACTGCCTCAGGAAAAGAAAACTCAGACTTTTCAGACAGTGAGGCAAATTTCTTAAGGATTTTTGGATGATTGCAGTACTACTGCACGAGTAGTATTTTCCTAGGTCTTTTGTTCACCTGTGTTGTGGTAGGAGTAACAGAGGCCAGTGCGCTACTTTTCAGGAGTTTGACTCATACCTGGTCAACAATCAGTGGATCTTAGATTATCATTATTGAAGAAATAGTATTTCAGGCAAGTTGCAAAAATTAGGTCTTTATTAAGTGAACAAAACGGTTGAGGTAAGATTCCTAGAGTGCAAGCAGTTTGTCTAAGCAAGGACAAGAGTGAATGGTTCTTCTTCATTTTTCTTTCCAGTTGCAGAGTGTATGGGAGAAGGATCAGTCTCAAGGGAAGGATTTATTTTATGTCTGTGTCTCAGTGAAGATAATGTCAACAAACTACAGTGTCAGTTGTGACGTTTAGATTTGTGAAATAGATGTAGAAACTGTATCTGTGTGGTAAGTTGTGCATACTTGTGATTAGAACCTCACATCAGATACTATGATCATCTCACCCCATATCCAAGCACAGGACACTGTCCCAAACATTTAGGAGTTCCAGAATATTTATAAACTGCCAAAAAAATACACAATTGCCAGATCCTTAGGAGCACACCTGGTATCAGTATGATACAAAGGTACCAGACACCCTCTCACAGCTCATTACTACCAAAAGGAGCTACCTTCCAAGACCTCTGATTCTGGTTTTCATCTGCTCAGAGCTTTGCCTCTCCCTTATGTCAGCCCTGCTGCTTTGTCAATGAACTGGGTGGGAAAAAAAACCTTATTTTTGCTCTTCTTGCTTGGCTGCTTTATTAGGCTAATTTTCAGGGGTTTCAGCTAGTTTGGCTGACCAATGGTTCCAAGAAGCGCTAAGCTGACGAGCTGGAAGTGGTAGAATTGTGTGGCCCAAAGGCTCAGAAATGAGGAGATGAGGGAGTAACACTTTCCTCCCTAGAAACCTAGTGCTGTAGTTTCTAAATGCTTCGTTTTATGCACTTTGTGGGCTATTAGTTATTTTGGCTTGGAAGTGTTGCACTTGTCATTTTTCAAGGCCTTGATTGCATAGTTATTTGGGGGAAAAGAATAAAATTACAGAACAAGGAGTACTTTCTTGCTCCCCTTCAAGAGTCACGAGTTTCTGTGTATGAGGAGTAAATGCAACTGTAGTCAGACTGAAACTTCTTAGGAAGTTCTTAAGGATGGAAAGTGTTAAGGATGGAAAAATACAATAATTGGACTTGTATTCATCTCACAGAAAAAAACCCAAAACAAAACAAAACAAAACTAGTTCTTTTCCAGTGAGATGTAAAAAGAAAAAGAAAATGTTTTCTATCTTATTTAAAATGCTGTGTTGCTGGGCATGACATTCAGGGTTTACTCTGTCCAAGGCACTTCTTTCTCCATTCACACTCGTTTATCACACTCCTTAATTACTTCCTGCCATCTAAAGAAAATACCATATTGCTTTATGTATGTGCACTCTGGAATACTTTCTGATCCTTGTGAATTAAATGTAAATTGGTCTGGTAAAATTCAACAACAGATGATGTGTAGTACAGCTGAAGAGGAACGCACTCTCTGCTTAATATTGTTCCTCCTACCATTTTGTTTTGATTATTTTTTGGTATCTTTCCTTTATCCTGTTTGTCACAAAGAGAAGATTCCTTGACAAACCAGATTCAGTTCTGGTAGTCGGAATTGATCATACTGGCTGCATCAAAGACAAATTGTGACTAAGATCAGCTTCAGAAGGTTCCTGTAATCAGGGGCAGATACAATTAGCCTTTTGGACAGGCATTTCAGAAAACAAAACTGTAACACTCTAGTTGGAATACAATCACTTGAAGGGTGTAGTAGGCAATACGGGCCAAATGTTGCCATTTTAGTATGTCATTTTGTGTTGTTAGTAGAGAGCTGTTTGCTAAGATGTTGCTGAAAATTTGCCTTTCTCCTGCAGTTCTGTATGAGGTGGTTAATGCAATGATCAGGCTGGCACTCAACTGAAGAGATGCATTAATTTGACAATAAATTAAACTGTATTCTTGCAGAGACTATTGCATAAGATTACTTTATATGATGCTAACAACAACAAAAAAGATACTTGCATGCAGTAAATATTTAAGATATTGCACTTTTATACATTTATTATAAAGAGGAATCACTCTCCCTAAAAATAAAATTCCATGTATCTCACGATGAAGTATCTGGAGTCTCTTAACAACTGTCAGTTACTTGTGCACACAGGTGTGATTATTGTATAGTAGAGGCTAATTAATCTGTCACGTGCTGCAGAATACTTGGTTTATTTCAAATGCTGATTTTGGAAAGAATGAGTAATGTTTTTATTAGTGTCTTGGTGACTACTTTTCTCAACATACTTTAGGAGAGCCCTCACAGTTACTGATAAGTTACTGATTTATTTTAGCTCAAAAAATCAACTGATTTACTATTCATTATCAAGGTTTTCTTCCGGTGCTTTAGAACTTCACTGTTTCATCTCACTTTGCTGAAGTTAAGCAACCTGAGTGTAATCGAGAGGCAAAAGGCTAGATATAAACATAGTCAAATTTGATATTCCCC